TTTAGTGAAACCCCGGAATTTGTATGACTGGACGGATATGAGATCTCGGAATGGGACGAGTTTCAGAAGAAAAGAATGGTGGTCGATTCGTTCGGCGAGACTTTGGAGTTCTAGATGCGATGGAGGAGGATGGGGGTAATTTATAATTTCTCACCAAGCTATAATTGACCCTGGTCACGCTTTGCGACCAGTGGAAAAAATAATCCTATCTATCATATTTCACTTTGGAATACTCAGCATATTGGTACCTCCCCAACAACGGTTTCGAACATTTCCCCACTCTAGTAAGAAGTCGTGCTCAGCTGGAATTGCGTTTTTCCTGGGAACACTTCTCGAATGTGCCTACCTTGCTAGCTGTTTTTGATCGGGATGACTAGTTTGTTTCCGGTTCCTCCGGCTCCTTAGTAATTAACTATTCGGCCCTGACGCTAACAAATCATGCCCGTAATTTCACAGTTGGTGAACTTACGGTGAGATGAGATAATGTTACTTTCCGGTATGCAATCTATGTCACTCGACCGGTTTTACATTAGCTGACGTCTGATGTTGTCAAGGAGAGCGTAGAAAGAAGCGACACTGACAAAATCGAGAAGCTATGCTCCCTAGTAAGACCCCGATTGGGTAAAACATCCTTTCCGCGCCATGTGCCCAACTTTTGTGGGGAATTATAATAGTGGGATTGATCGCTTAGAAATTGTGTTGAGAAAAGTGATCTGTTCTATCCTTACTAGGAGTGTCAAGCAATTGCGAAAATTTCTCAGGAATTCCATTCATGACGGTTTGTGGACCGGGTTACCACCCAGCATAACCCTTTCAACATCCACAAATACAACGCCCCTCCCATTTTCTCCCAAACCTGAGTAGCTTTACTCAGCCCTCAGCCCCAAATATCACTCTTCCTCTTCAATGCAAGAACCAAACCGCATCCCCATCCTGAATGAAATCAGAATATCTGCTGCGTCCTCATGGGGATCAATCTCCCGAATACTTCATCCTTTCCGTCCTTTCACTTGGTAGGAGATGACGAGTTGAGCTGCTCACCAAGTGCATGGCTTGATGGTCAAGCCCTGGACCGAATCTTGTCTAGACCAGCCGAATATTTCGGCCCTCCGGGATCGATTAAATTGGAACTACACCGGTATGATAGAATAAATACCGATTTGCACAAATGATCAGTGAGTCATTGGATAGGCCTGAGTGCATTCAAATGCTGCCACAAACAGAAACAAAATATAGGCGGCGCGTAGCTTTATATTTTTTGTCCTTTTCATGCGATGTTTGGGATCACTTATAAAACTTCAAAACACCGATATGCATGCGAATGCGTACAGGGCATAAATGTTTTTTATGTAGGAATTTTT